TGCCCGCTTCAACTGCCCCTCCGACTACCTTGTCGACGTCCGTAGCAGCGCCCAGGACACCTGGGTCTACCGCTTCTTCGGCGCCTACGACAACGTCGTCGGCCCCCCCGGCACGGCTCCCACCCACGGCACCGAGGTCCCCTTCTTCCACGGCGGCAACGAGTGCTTTGAGAAGCTCTCGGGCGTCACGGCCGCCCAGCAGGCCCTTGCCGACTCCATCCACGGCTGGTTTGTGCAGTGGATCAAGAACCCGGCTGCCGGTCCCGGCTGGGACAAGGCCAAGCCCAAGTCCGGCCCGCTCGTCAAGCTCGGCGTGCCTGCCGATGAGCTGTCGCTGATCAAGGGCACCACTGACGAGTTCAACAGCCGCTGCCAGAAGGTGTACAACCCGAGGTTCAACAAGTACCCCGTCGTTCAGTCTGTCGAGGGCATCCTGTGATTCATTGATGAATGACTTGGGCCCAGGCCAAGTTGCACGGCATATTTCACGTTTTTATGATAGCGGTATAGACAAAAGGAATAGACACATACATAATATGCATCACATTCATTGTTGCTTCCGCAGAGCATGTTGTGCCGTTTTCGTTTTCTATTTTCAGCCGTTCGGGGCAAGTCATATGCCCCTGATGCCTTGGCCAGGAAGATGCCGATTTCAAGGCAGACAATCATCAGTGGCGAGATGGACAATGATTTGTACGTCATTGTCCATAAACTCATTCAGAAATGGCGCCCCGTCGCTTCATCGCCACACGGATATGCATGTTTAACCCAGGCAGGTAAACCCGGTCGCCAGCCCAGCCAACTCCAGCAAAGTCCAGAAACTCGAGGCGAAGACGGTCCAGCTCAGCTTGCCATTCATCAAACTCGGGACCAAGCGTCGTCGAAAAAACGGAAGATTCCCCAGGTCCCGCCCAGTACATCACGGCTTCGATCGGGGGTCTGGCAGCATCGCCAGGGGCAATCTGGTACCTTCTGAGCAGACCGTCCATGAGCAGGTTCGCAAAACACCACACGCAGAGCGGAGGGAGTTGGCCTCCTTCCGCCAATGTCCGCGGGAAGCCTTGGAGCGCCGCGCTCGTGGCAGGAAAGGGGATCATCGCCAGGTGTGGGTGCCCGTCCCAGTCGCACAGCGGACGGCGCAGATCCTTTTTGCACAAGGGGCACTCTACGGTTTCTCCCACAGTATTCTCGCCGAGGAAGAGGGCGCATGGTTCGCAGAACATGTGGCCGCAAAACATGACCATGCACGGCTCGAGCGGCTCGAGCCCCCGAGCTTGCCTCTCCTGAAGCGCCAGCTGGACTGAGTCTTTGCTGGACTCGCTTCCGGGACCCTCGCCGCAGGCGAAATCCAGGTCATCTTCTGGCACACGTGATGGGGGGCGCGGGTACTTTGGACGCCCGTCTCCGGCGATGAGCATGTCGGAGGTGCACACGACACACACGAGGCGAAGCTGACTGAAAAGATCCGGGTCCTCTTGCAGTCTTTCTCGAATCTTGGGGAACCAGCAGTCTTCGGGGTTGATAGGGCAAGCTGAACTGCAATTTTTCTGCAGGGGGGCGGCTGTAAATTCGTTTTGCGACATCTTTGGTCGAGGGGTTTACCTTGCAAAGCAGGCCCAATTTAGGCCAGGTTTACGATATAAGTTAGTAATTGTCAAGTTTCTACTCGAGTCGAGTTCGAATGACATAGAATACACCCTTTCTTTGGAATATTCTTGTTGTCTCTGTGTTGGTCGGGGTCATACTCGATCACTTGTCTCGAAGGATCTCGAACACTAAGAACAGAAGCAGTCACGAAGACATGAATATTGGGTATTTTACGACGCGCCTTTTTTGCATTCTTAATGATCGCGCGGTACAATGACTATGATATTGGGACAAAGCAAGCGAAGACCGAGACTCGGTGTTTATTCGTATCCCATGCTGCAATCGAAGGTAGACGAACAATTCTTGCGCCAAGAGACGAAACCAATCCATACTGCCCATTATAAGCACGATGCATCCAGAAACTCCAAGAACCTCCACTCCACGGAAGCGCGACCAGCGCGCCCCAAAGTCCAAGCCACTCTCACGCCCACAGGTCCAACGCCCAAGTCATGCCCATCCCCTCTTCCACGTGGCGCAACTTCACCCGCGCAGCCGCCATGAGGTCCTCGAGCTTCTTCAAAGACGTCCGTCGATACGCCGCGTAGTGCGCACCCAACTCATCAAGATTCTTCCGCTTGACGGATCTGATCTTCTTCCTCCCGGCCCTCTGAACGAACTCCGAGGTCGTCATCAGCGGCCGCACGAGGTCGCCGCAGATCACGAGGAGGAGGAGCAGGACGTCCTCAGCCCACTGGACGCGCCAGTCGTCGAACGCGCAGGCACAGCAGCGCCGGGGCGGCCAGCCGCCCTCGGGCACGACGACGGCCGGGAAGCGGCGCAGCTGGACGCGGTCCATGGGCGCCGGCAGCGTCTCCAGGGCCGCGTCGCAGCCGTGCAGCAGGCTCGCCTGGCAGAAGGGACACCGGCTGTGCAGGGGGGACGCGAGGATCTGGTCGAGGCACTCGCGCCCGACGACGTGGCCGCACGGCAGCACGCTCGCCGCCTCCATGCCGTGGCTGTGGAGCGCCGCGAGGGCGTGAGCCGACGCGGTGGTCAGGCCGCCGTCGAGCGTGTAGGCTCCGACAAAGGCCATCTTCTCGCGGCAGACGGGACAGTCTAGGTCCGGGTGCACCCAGGCCTCGTCGGCTGGCAGGGCAAACAGCTGCTTCTTCAAGTCGGGCCTGCTCATGGCCAGACAGCTTGACGCCGGGCTCCGATGTCGGTG